GATGCTCTCCAAATCCCTCCAATGGCTGCAACCGTTGCACCACTTCTGGAGTGATCGAAAAAATTTGCGCCATTCCCCGAACGTTTGAACGCAGAGACGTATGAGGTGTGCAACCGTTCATGAAAGTTCAAGCTGCCGCCGACCGTTCAACGCTCGTGTGTATTTCAGGGACTCCGTCAAAATTGAGCCCTTCGGGGGTCCCACGGCCGAACCAGACCCGACCGAGAGGGGTGGCAACGCCGAACCGGCCGTCTTGGAGCGAATTCGAGTGTGTCTCGCGAAAGCGGGAGATACAACCTCCACCTTCGACAGGCTGAAGAAGTACCCAGCCGGCGACATGTACGTATAGAGGGCTCACGGAGTGCGTACATGCCCGTACAGGCATCAACACACATCGAACAACTTTTCCGTCCTCGTTCGCGGCCGGGCGTTGCTCTACTCCTGCAACAGTAGCGAGTGTTGCGACGTCCGGCCCCTCAAGCAGATTGGGATGCTCACTCGATACGAGGCGATGCTCGGCGGGGAGGTGGCCCCCGTTTCCGCCGACGACGAGAGCGTCTATAAGACCCTGGACAAGCGCTTCGTGGACCACTGGGCGTTTCAGGGGGAGATGGGCGGAAGCCATATCGCCACTCAGATGTACTCTTCCTGCGGCAGGTACGTGCGCGGGTCCGACATGTTTATGTTGTTCAAGCTTCTGCGCAAACTATCTGAGATGCTGGTTGCCGCCGAATCTGGGCTGCAAACTGGTGGGCCAACATCCAATCGGCTGTAGAAAAAGTATCGAAGGCGTTCAGTCTTTTGGCCAAACTATCTGATACACCGGCGGGGCATCTACAATCCCCTCCTTCCTTCTACTTACAGACTGTTAATCTACAAGAGGGTGGTACTACTGGAACGGAACGTGCTATGAGGAGGATCCTACCGGTGCGCACATACGGTTCGCAGGGTGTATGATAGAGTACGCAAACGGTTGCGCAAGGAGTTGAAGGATGTTGGCAACGACAAGAAAAAGGCAAAGAAATTGGTAAGACCTGATTTCAAGCCCCAAGAACTACAATAACTCCCCGGCAATAAAGAGTACCATGGAGGTCATGCAAGGCGAGATGTATGCGCCCGACATGTCTGCTCTGTTGGATAAGGACGTCTACATCATCAACTGCCACAACGGAATCTGGCAGCTGAAGACGGGCGCCCTACACACCCACCGGCCGCAGTACATGTGCACCCGTATGATCGATCTGCGCTACATGGTGAGCATCTCGCAACTCGTTCCGTTCCGTTCCGTTCTGTTCCGTTCACAACAATTAGCTCGGTCAGAGGAAAGGTGGGCTCTCAATCTTGGGCAAGCTAGAAGTTGACCGCGCCATGATTTCAAGCAGCACTAACTAGCGTGCTTCTATCCGTAAGAGAAACGTTATGTTTTACCACAATTCTATAAAACAAATTCTGTTGTACGTAATTGTGACTTAATAAACTCTACACTTCGTTGCAACAGGAGTGAGCAAACAACCATAGATTAGCCTATCAGGTGCTTGGCTGCATTAAGCGAGACGGCCAGCCGATGCGAACGAGGAGCCCATCTGGCCCGCAGATCCCCACTTCATACATCCCCCACTCCCGGTGGCGCAGGACACCGCCTGGTCGTATGATTAAGTCGTCCACCCGCGCAGCAATAGATTCGACCTCAGGAGTCCGGATGAATACGCCGAACGGATTGTGCTCTGCTGGCACGCGCCACGGTCCATCGCCAGCCTGGGTGAGGTGCACCTCACACTCGTAGCCGGTGAGAATTCTGTAGAATTGGTCGCCCCCAGTTTGCGTAAATCCCAGGCGCTCCCAAAAGGCTACGGCTGAAAGCAGATCATTGCATGGCACGATCGCAAAGGCGCCGACAGTTGCAGGAATCGGCATTGGTCCTATCACCGGACGGCTCCCGTTGGCTCAAGGTATGAAAACAAGAGCAACCAAAACCTAGATAAATCAACGCATAGTTAGGTTTGAAATGGGCTTCAGGTATCCGGCTTGGGCGAGCTAGTTAGCCTTTAGACTAAGGTAAAAGCAAAAGCATGGTCTGATTTGGTCTGCTAACAAATAGAGAAAGGGGGGATAGGTCTGTTGACTGATAGCATGTCAAAGCTTGGAGACAGATCCTTTTAACTTATAATCCGAACATGGTGGTTCTCCAGGGAACTTTGCTCACCTTGTTCAGTAGCAATATTATTTATTTAGTAGCAATTGATCATAGCATTGCTAGAAACAAGGAATGAATTAGCGATTTAGGCGCATTAGCTCCCAAAATCTAGGTTTAGTGCCGCGGAGTCAAGCAAGTTCTCTGTCGTCCACATCCCGAGAGGGCGTGGGGATAGTGCCCTTATCTGCTTAGTTGCGGCAGTTGGAGGTTGCACAACTGCGATTAGGTCAAGAATATTATTATTTTTGCATCATGAAAGGCATATCGTGAAGAGTTTTAGTCCGTTGACACCACTGCAAATTGTAAATGTTGTTGGTGCATTCTTCTAGCTGCTGTGTCGGACGGTTTGGGCCCTTCCAGAGGGGGGTCAAGGCTCGAGCGGGATCAATAATGAGGAAGAAAGCGAGGCCCTTAGGCTAAGGGACCTCGAAATGCGTAAAGCAGCCAAGAAAGCAGAGCAGATGCAACAGAATTTCGAGCTTCATGAGGAATTCGCGTGTTGACTCCAAATTAACTACCCTACCCTATTGTATCACTACAACTTGTTAGTTAGCCGATACCTTAGTTCTTCTAGCCCAAGACTATGTCTTTGGCTAACCAGCCCTTACGGCGGGTCCCAACAAGTTGGAAAGCTATGCTGTGCTCCGCGGTTTGTAGCGTCATCTCTAGCTGGGAAGTGCAACACGAAAGCGGAGCTTACCCGATGCAGCATCAATTGCAGGCCAGCAATACAGGCTTCGAAGATCTTCGAAGCACTCTATAGTTGAGAGCTGCAGAGATGATTCGACGAGGCCAGACCGCCCACCTGCACAAGGATAGCACCAAGCAGTCAGAGAGCTTGCTGCAGCTGAGCTAGGAAAGTACACCAGACTATTCCACGCAAAAACCTCAACGGAGGATGGCTGGCTTGCTCGGGGGAGAAAGTTTGTACGAAGCACCAGGCTGAACACCACGGATCCTCACTAGCAATTGGGTGCGCACAGCGAACTTCTGTCGTTCAGCTTAGTGAACAGACCAGGGGAGTTAGCAAGGGGGTGCATGTTGCACACTTCAGGTTACAAATCTCACTTAACACATCTCGCAGACTAAACCTGGATGGACGATTATCGCGAATGATGGGGCAAACTTCGCAGAGGGGACAGAGCAAGTTATACCCTTCAAAACCTAGCCTAGATTTTGACAAGTAGAGAACAAGGCAAGGCACCCTGCCGGTGCTATAGTCTGAAAATATCATGTGATAGGAGGCAGGAATGCAGTCTGGCATCTGTCAGGCAAGTCGTGCTGCCAACTTCTTAAATGCTCGAACTGCTTTAGACACATAATCATCAGTTAGCCAATACCTTCGTGCTTCTAGCCCAAGACAAACAGCCCTTACGGCGGGTCCCAACAAGTTGGTAAGTTGCGCTGTGCTCCAGATGTTAAGACGTAATATCTAGCAGAGAAGGGCAGCAAGGGAGAGGAGCTCACCCGTATCAGCGTCAATTGCAGGCCAGTGAGCCTTCCAAGAGTGAGCTGCAGAGATGGAGTCGACGAGGCCAGAGCACCTACCAACACAAGGATAGCACCAACCTGTCAGAGAGCATCGCCGCAGCGAAGATAGGAAAGTACACAAGACTCTACTGAGCAAAACCCTCGATATGGG